ATATATATATACATTTTAAAAATTTATTAATAAAATTTAAATTATGAATATTATTTATAAATATGTATATTATATAAATATGTTATTTTTTTAAGAAATTATACGCATATTTATATTTAAATATAGCAACTTTACATAAAATATAATATTTTAATATTTGATTTTTATTAATATATATTATAATATTAATTTAAAATTTTTAATATTTTCTCTAATTATTATTTTTAATATATTTTTTTTTAAAATGAATCTTTAAAATATTTTTAATAAAATTATTTTTTTTAAAAGTATCAAAAAATCTATAAATAATTAATAATTTTAAAACTTTTTTATAATTTGAGTTTTAAATATAATAGATTTCGATGAATATATAAATTAAAAATAAATTAAAATATAAATAAACATAAATAAAAATATAATAAAAAAATTATAAATATATATTATTTTAAAATTTATAAATTTAATTAATATAATATACATTATAACTATTATAGTGATAATATAAATATTAATATTTATTAAAGATTATAAAAGGATTTTTTTCTATTAAGATAATTATATATCTTATTTAAATAAATATATGTAAGGATATATATTTAATAAATATATATATATATTTATATATAATTATATTTATATTTTTTATTAATCTAATTAAAAAAAAAAATTATTAATAAAATTTTAATTATTATTAAAAAGTAAACAATATAATTAAAAATTTATATATTATAATATATATATAATATTATAATTTTTAATATATATTTTTTTCAATCATTTTACTTTTTTACAAAAAATAAGATTAAAAAAACTAAAATAACCTTTATCAATTTTATTTTATTAAAAATACTTATTTTTTTTTTAAAAAAATTGTTTAAAATTATATTTTATAATATAATAAAATAAATTTTGTATTATATATAAATTAATATAATAATAAAAGATAATTTTTATGCATTTAATTATATTTTTTTAAATTTATTATATATTTTTTATAATTATTATAATAAAATTAATAATTTATTTTTCTATTTATAAAAAATATTTTATTTAAATAGAAAATTAATATAATTTAAATAAAAACATTTATTTAAAAAAAAAATCTATTTGTTTATTTTTAGTTATCTATTTAAATATAATTAACATTATTTTATTTTATTTAAAAAAAAAAATGAGTGATTTTTTAGCAAGTCCTTATTTATCAAATATACTAACAGATAATTCTGAATTAATTATAAAAGTTTATAAAATAATAATATATATAAAAAATAAATATAAATAGTAACACAAGAACTATGATAATATAAGTTTAAATAGTTAACATTTAATAGAATAATTAAGTCAGCAAATAGCTTTTTTATAAAAAGAAAATAAAGAACTTATTGATAAAGAAAATAATTCAAAAAAAATGAATTAATAAATAATGGAAACTTTAGAAAATTTAAATAATTATAATAATAATAATAATGTATATTTTATTTATAAAAAAAAATACATATATTTTATAAATATTAGAAATATTCTTAATAATAATTATAAATAATCGAAGAAAAATATATAAAAGAATTGAATGAAAATAAAAGAAAGATATAGTCTTAATAAGAATATTATGAAAAAGAAGTAAAAAATAAAATTTTACAATAAAAAAAAACAAAAAGAAATAAAAATTTAATGAAGAAATTAATTAATAAAATAAAGAAAATTCAAATTTAATGGCATAAATACATAAATATGAAATAGAATAAAATTAATTGTAAAATAATATTAAAACTTTAACATAATAAATAAATAATCAATAATAAATAAATCATAATGAAATGAAGTAAATATTATATAAATATATATATACATATGTAATGTTTATTATAATATTATTACATTTTTAGAAATATATAAAATAATATGGAATAGCATTGGATTGGAATAATAAAAGAATATGAAATAAAATTTTAATAATAACATTAAGAATAAATGGTAAAACATTAAAATATAATAAAAGAATATGAACAAAATATAGAAAATATAAAAATATTGAATGAAAATGTAAATATAACTATATATAAATAAGAAATAATTATGTATATAGGAAAAGCATTTACTATGGACAAAAATAAATACATTTTCTAGTTAAAAAAAAATTATTGAATAATAATATGAACAAACAAAATTATTATATAATTAATTAAATGATAGATATAAAGAAGAGGTTGTTTATATAGTCATATATATATTTTAAATTTAATAAAAAAAATTAGTTTTAAAAAAATTAAATTGATAAATAATAGCTAAAAAGTCAAATAATTTAATTAGAAAAACAAAATTAGAAAATAATTTTCTATGAAATATAAATAAGCTAAATATAATTCGAAAATTAATAAAAAATATAATAAATAGAAGATGAAAAAAAATAATTAAAAGATAAATTAAAAGAATTATAGTAAAATATATTAAAAATATTATATATATATATATATATTATATATATTTATATATATACATATTTAGATTCTAATTAAAAAAATAAGAATAAATAGAATTGAATTTATAGGACATAATCAAAAGTAAAGATTAAATAATTAATGACACCAAGAAATAATTTTAAAAGAAACTAAATTAAGAAAAAATAAAAGCTTAGTTTGTATAATAAGCTGCAAAATAAATAAAATAAGACTGTGCGAAAAAAAATGCATTTGTAATTGAAAAAATAATAAATAACGAAGATTAAATTAAGAAATTAAATAAAGAATTAATGAAATAAGAAGTATTTAGTTAAAATAAATAAAATATAAAAAATTAATAAAACGAAGATTCCTTTAATAATTTTGTCTCTCCAAAATACATATTACTAGGATAATCTCCTAATTAAATATAAGACTAATATTTTTAATCTTTAGAAAATAATAATTAATCACTATATACAGATAAAAATAAAGAAAACAATACTAAAAATAATAATAATAATAATATATTCAAAAACACACCAAATTCTTTCCGAAAAGTTTAAAATTTTTCATTAGTATAAAATAATAAAGACTTCATTCTAAATTAATAATAAATATTAAATAAATAAAACGGAAAAAATAGCTGTTGTGATTTTAATACAATGTAAACTAACAATATTAATTTAAAATGCCATAAAAAATAATACTCATAAACTCAATGTACTATTAATTTATAAAATAATGTATCATAAAATGAATTAGAATATGTTAAAATTATAAATAATTTGCCTGTAAAAACTATATAACTATGAGTTATTTTATATATATAAGTTTTATTATATATTTAAAAACATATATATAAATATAAGTTTTATATATATATATATATTTTTATACATTTATATATATATTTTTTTTTATTTATTTAATTTTTTAGTATAAAACTATAATTTTTTTTATTTATATATATATATCTTTTTTTAAATAAAAATATATAAATGTTTTCAATGTTTTTATAAAGTAAAAGATTTAATTCTTTATTGTTTTTAAATTTTAGAAATTTTGTTGCATTACCCTCTTTTAATAATTTTTTATTAAATAAAAATCTTAAAGAAGCATTGGATAAATCATAAATATATACGCCTTCTCCTATATAAGATTTATGCATTCCACAATTATTAAGCCTTAAATATCCAAATTATTATGTAGCTGGCTAAACAGGGACTGGTAAATCATTAGGTTATCTTCTTCCTATTATAAATAATTTTAAAAAACAAGAAGAAACGGCAGGAAGATCTACTACTACTTGCCGTCCGAGTATAATAATAATAGTTCCTACTAAAGAATTAGCAAATTAATTAGAAGATGAGTGCAAAAAATTATGCCACTTCGCTAAATTTAAGGCTTTTAGCATAAATAACTCAAAAGTTTATATGAGAGAAAAAAAAGAATTACATTAAGGTATAGATTTACTTATAGGAACCCCTGACAGAATAGAAAGACATAGAAAAGATTAAAATGTTTTTTTTTCATAAGTATAGTATTTAATAATTGATGAATTAGACACATTTTTAGACTCAGGATACAAAGAAACAATAGAAAATTACATAAAAATGTTTTAAGAAAAATAAATCCGTGTAAAAATCATTAAAAAAAAAAATTATTATATTAATTTATATGTATGTATATTTATTAATATATATATATATATATATTTTTATATATATATATATATTTATATAATATTTTTAGATTATGGAAAGTTAATTAAAATAAGAAATTCCTCGTCTATTATTTGTTAGTGCTACATATACAGGTCAAATAAAATATCTTTTTTAAGAGCATTTTGTTGAAGATAAGAGTATAAAATTAATAATAGATAAAAATGTACACTAGAATTTATAAAATATTAGTCATGAGTTTATACACTGTAAAACTTTAGATAAAAAAGAGGAAATCTTAAAATAAATAAAAAATATTTAATCAAAAAAACAAGAGTTTAGTCTTATTTTTTGCAATTCTATATAATCTTGTAGAAGTTTAGATTATTTTTTACAAGAAAATGCAATTTAATGTGTCAGTTTTCATGGAGAAATTCCCAAAAAAATGAGAATTTAAAACTTCCAAATGTTCAAAAGTTAGTAAGTAAATTTCATGATTTGTACTGATCTAGGATCCAGAGGACTCGATTTTACATTCCTTACTTATGTTTTTAATTACGATTTCCCAAATACAGCCTCAGATTATATACATAGGGCAGGCAGAACGGGAAGAGGAGGAAGAAAAGGGAAGGTTGTGTCCATATATCATTAAAAAGATTTAAAAATTATAAATGAATTGAAATCTTCATATGATAATAATAAGCCTTTAGAAATTAAAGGGTCATAATACGCGACTATAAATAGGGAAGTATTAGAAGGACTATAAAAATAAGCAAATGGGTAAAAGGAAGAGTATTAAGGATTGAAAATAAAGATGATTTCTGAAATAAAAAAAGTTTAAAATATAAATAATAAATTAAAAGTAGTAGAAAAAGAAAAAAATAAAGAAATAAGAAATTATATTCCAGAAATTGATAGAGATAAGAAAATTTTAAAAAGTATGATTTAGGAAATAACAGGGAAGAAAAAAAAAATAAGAATATTATTCAAAAAAAGAAATAATATATTAAAAATGAAAATAAGAAGTTTCAGAAGATTTATACAAGTTAAAAAATTAAAATAATAAGGAGAACTAAAATAATTAAAAAAATATAAAAAAATAGAGTCTAATTTAAGAAAAAGAAAAATAAAAATAAAAATATAAAATTAAAAATAATAAAAAAATTGATATTAAATAATATAAAAATAAAAAAATTAAATATATATATATATATAAATAAATATATTTGTATTTTTATTTAATAATAATTTATTAATACAATATAAAAATTTTGTATTATATATTTACTTTATATATCTTAATTTAAAAAAAATTGTATATTATTTTTATATTTTTATATATATTATAATTTTTATATTTTCTATATTATATATATATATATATTTATTTTTTTATATATTTATTTAAATGAATTTTGTTGTATAAATTCAGATATTATTTTTTTTTTATATATATTACATTTAAATTTTATATAAAATTAAATATAATTAAATTTTTAATAAAAATTTAAAAAAAAAAAATATGTCTTATAAATTAATAATTTAAAAAAAAATAGAAACTGAAGAAATAGATTCTCCATTAATTATGATTGAAAATTAAGACCATAAATAAAAAAAACATAGATAAATGAAAATGAATTTAATAATACATCTTAAGATAAAGAAACTACAAAATATAAAAAAATTAATAATTAATATTATTAACCTTTAAAATAATAATAAAATATTTGAAAACTAATCGAATAAATAAAAAAATATCGTATTTTTCAAAAAAAATGTATTTATACATACATTTATATTTGATATAAAATATATATTAAATAAATATATTGTATTTTATATATAAAAAAAAATTATTATAATAATAAAAAAAATAACTATGAAAATTTATAATTTGTTAAATGAAATTTAAATGTAATAAAAATATTATTATAAATACATAAAAATTAATATACTTCTATATATAGTTTTACATTTTAAAAAAATTATAATAAATTTATATTACAAACGAAATCAAATTTAAATAACAATTAAGAATATTTAATAACAGAAAAAAAATATGTAAAATAATATAATATTAAAAAATAAAATTAAAAAAATATAGATATATAAATATTTATATACGAATTAATATATATAAAAATAAAATGATATATAAACAGATTAATATCAATTTAAATTCTGATAAAATTTTGTATTGAATATATTCTATTAATTTTTTATTAGTTATTATTAATTATGTTTTCAATTAGATATTTTAATGTAATTAATAATCTTAATAATTATATATAACATATTAAATAAATTTTTTATTATTATTATTAAAATTAATAATATAATATATATTTATTTTTTCTTTTACATTTTAAATATATATATCTTTATTATATATATGTTAATTTATTTTTTAAATTATAATTATTTATAAAAAAAAATTTACGAAAAAAATAATATTTTATATATAATTTTTTTACTATTTTATATCAAAATATACACAAATAATAAATAAGTATATATTGTTTATCTTTTATTTTAATATTATTTTTTATTTGTTTTCTACTTTTATAACCTACAAATAATATTTAAATCAAAAATACAAGCTTTAATTTCTTTTTATATTTTTAATCTATAAATGTAATCTAAGAAAGAAAAATAATAATTTATTAAGATTATATAATATATATTTCTTAATAATAATAAAAACTAAAAATAAATTAATTATTTAATCATTATTTTGAGATATAAATAAATACTCTATAAAAAAAAAATCATTATAAATAATAAAATGAATACTTAAAATATATAATTAAATAAAATAATAAATAAAAAGTAAAAAAAAATATTTAATAAATTTTTAAATATAAAAAATATATATTAATTTATTTTTTAAAAAAATTAAGAATTAAAATATAAGATAAATAACAAAATAGAAAAAAAACTAGAATAAAATATATATATATATAAACATTTATGCATTTATATATATATATATATATATATATATTATATTTATTTATATATTTATATTTTTATTTTCATTTTTTTACTATTTTAATATAATATAATTATTTATTATTTTTACTAATTTTTTTTAAATAAATAATTAATTATATTTTTAATTTTATACTTCATTTTTTATAAATAAGTATCTTTTTTATTTTATAATAAATAATTTTTTTAATATCTTTTCTTTTATTTAAAACTTCTATTATTATAAGAACATAATTTTTATATTTTTTATTTTATATCATATATATATGACACTTTTATAAATAATTTTTTTTTTTATTTTTTTTTTTTATAAATTTTTTTTTTTATTTAAATTTTTTTTATTTTTTTATACAAACGAATCATTTAGAATAATATATTTTCATTTTATTTTTTTTATAATAACTAAATTTTTTAAATAAATTATAATATTTTAATTTCTCAATAAATGAAATTTTCTTTTTAATATTTATAAAATCTAATTTAATAATATATTATCTATTTGTTTAAAAGTAAATAAAATTATATTTTAAAAACTCCTTTTTATATATTTGTTTGTAAAGAATAATAATTTTTTTATTGAACTACATTATTTTTTATAAAATTCGCTTTTTTTATTTATTTAAAAAATAAATTCTATTAATAATAAATAAATGAAATTCTAAATTTTCCAATTATTGTAAATTATGAATAAAAAATCTATATTAAAAATTTAAAAAAATATCTAAAATTTGATTCATAATAAAAAAAAAAAACTAAAAAATATTACTTTTTAGACATTTTTTGTAGATAATTGTTAAAAATATTCACTTTTTAAATTTTATAATTATTTTAAATATTCACAAAATGTAAATGTATTAAAAGTTAATTTGTATTATTTAAAGCATTTTATTTTAATTTTTTACAAAAAACTTGAATTAATTATTCTTAAGAATTTGTTTAATTGAATTTTAAAATATTAAATTATTGAATTTTTAAATATATAGTTTTTAATAATTTCCCATTTTAATAATTTCAAGTTTTTATTTTCTCAAACCAATAAAAATTGTAAAATTTATTTTCTTAAATAAAAAAATAATAATTTTATGCATTTTGTATATTTTCTGAATAAAAATATAATCATTTTTATTATTTTTATATTTTTTTAGAATTTTTAAAAGTTTAGAATTAATAAAAATATTATTTTTTTTCACAAAAAAATCCTTAATAATCAAATTTTAGACTTCTAAAAATTAAAATTTCTAAATTTTAATTTAAAACATATATTTACTTATATAAATTATTTAATATTAATAAATTTTAATATTCAAATATCATATTTAAATTTTAATATTCCAAAAATTATATTTTAATAAGTATTTACAATTAAATTAATTGTTAAATATTTATAATATCAAAGCTTATATATATTTTCTCCTCATTTTTTTTCATTAAAATCTTAATGAGAAAATCTATATAATTTATATACTTTTTAAATAAAACATATACTTTATTTTAAACATAATTATAAGAATTATATATCTTTTTTTATAAAAATAAATTAATTAAAAAATAAATATTTAATTAATAATAAATTATTTATATAATCATTATTCATATATTTGTTATTTTTTATAAATTTAAAAAAAATAAAAACGAAACTAGAATAGAATTGTTATTTTTTATTTTAAAAAAAAATAAAGAAGGTTAATGAGAAAAAAAAATATTATTAAATAATACAATAAATTTCTAGTAAAAGAATAAATAAATAAATATAAATAAAAAAATATATATACTTATAAAAATAAAAAATTAAAAAAACCATAAAATAAATAAAAAAAAAAATAGTAACATTTTCTCCGTTAAAACTAATAATTTCTATCCTAATCGATTCGTCTTGCCAAAACTAAACATTGGCGTTCTACATATATATATCAACCTGGTGCTGTAAAAGACTTAACTGTCACTTTAATTCCTGGAATAGGTATTGGTCCTGAAGTATGTGAATCTGTTCTTTCCGTATTTAATCATGTGAACGCTCCTGTGAAATTCGAATCAATTGAAAATTTTAGTTGGGAAGATGAAAAAGTCCGCAAATAACTAAAAAAGAATCGCACAATTCTACTAGGTGTAATTCCTGGCCATAAAAGTGCTAAATTTGTAGAGAATTTCCATTTTTATAAAGAATTAGGTCTCTATGCTGATGTAATACCAGCTTTTTCACTTCCTGGAATAAATTCGAGACATAAAAACGTAGATGTAGTTGTAATTAGGGAAAATAACGAAGGAGAATTCACTGGAATAGAGCATGAAGTATATCCAGGAGTCATAGAATCTATAAAGGTAATAACTAAATAAGGATCATTAAAAGTAGCAGAATATGCATTCGAATTCGCTCATTTATCAGGACGAGAAAAAGTAACGGCTGTACATAAAGCTAATATAATGAAAAAAGCAGATGGTCTTTTTTTAGAAGCATGCAGGGAAGTTTCAAAAAAATATCCTTTTATTAAATATGAAGAAATGATTATTGATAATTGTTGCATGTAAATGGTTAAATATCCATAATAATTCGATGTAATGGTCATGCCTAATTTATATGGATCTATTGTTAGTAATGTTTGTGCAGGAATTATTGGAGGGGCAGCATTAAGTGCAGGTGCTTGTGTAGGAAATGATCATACGTTGTTTTCATAAGGTACTAGACATGCAGGTAATGATATTGCTGGTATGAATATTGTAAATCCTACTGCAATGTTATTTTCAAGTATTATGATGCTTTAGCATATGAATTTACCGCATTTTGCTGATATTATTTCTAATGCTATTAATAAAACATTAAATGAAGGAAAAATCTTAACAAAAGATGTAGGAGGAAATGCAACTACAACTCAATTTACGAAAGCTATTATAAATAATATTGTTTAATGATTATAATATTATATATAAATATATATATATATATATATATATACATATATATATTAATAGATAAAAATATAAATTAATAATTTATTTATTTTTATTTTTTATCATTAATCTTCTTTATCTAAACTATTTTATTTCTAAAATATATAAAATCAATTAATTTAAATAAGTTAGAAGAATATCAATACTTTATTATATAATTTTAATAATATATTTATATATTTTCAAACATATTTTTATAAAGACGAATATATATTTTATGTCTTTTATAGTATATTATAAAAAAAATATGCTTTTATTATTTTTTTTTTAATATATTAAATTTATAGAAAAATAATATTTTTTTTAAATTTAGGATAAAATTCAATAATTTTATATTTAAATACAAAACATATATAGATTAATAAATTTAAAAAATAAATATTTGCTTAAAAATATAATTATATAATTTTTTTATAATTATATTAATTATATTAATAAACTTCGTATATTATTTCTCATATTAAA